AAAAGCCTTCCTGAAGGAGACACGGCTGTCGGCAGCCTTTCGTGCCGCTTCACGGCCAGCGTGCTCGTAACGCAGGCCTTCAAACCACATAAACACTTCTGGGTAAACGAGAGAGAGGATTTCCTTGTAAGTACATTTGCCCTGTGCAGCCAGAACCGAGATGTCGTGCGCCCTGAGAGCTGGCTAAGGGGGTCAACTCCCCCATTCTAGAAGGCTCTGGGGGTTGGAGGGGGACCCACGATGCCGGCCAAGCCGCCTCGAAGCCTGGATTTCTGTCGGCACAGACTCCCGGTCGTGACGGTCTCAAGCCATCACCCCTCAGAGAGGGAGGCCAAGGGGAAACACGCCGACGGGACTCCCACCAAGTCTGCCCGCTTTACAGAGACAAGCTCCAGTGCCCGTGTGCATACTCACAGCATCGGCTTCTGCCTTTTCCCTAGACACTCTCCCACCTGCGACAACTGACTCTAAGGCGGTGACCCAGCGCTGCTTTTCGGGAAAGCTGGGAGCCAGCAAGTAGAGGGTTCTCCCGGGCCAGCAGGTGGTGTGCGGGTGAGATTCCATCTTCAGCACGTAGGGGACATCTAGGAGATTCGACAGAGCACAGGGTGGGGGTTCGCCCACCCCCTCTGGGAACAATGGCCAAGCCACACCTGAGTCCCAGTTACTTAGCAGAAGGGGGGGGCCGGGGAGCCTCCTTCGCAGGCTGATCCGCCACGTGCCCCTTCTGCCCTTGCTGACGGATCCAGCCCAGCCAAGCCCAGCCCAGCCCACCTCCGGGGGCCCCGCTGCTCCCCACCTGCTTTGGCTGTGTTTGCGAGTTCAGAAGCACCAACGGCGCCATGAATAGACACGTCCCCGTCGGGAAGGCACAGCTCAAATTCTTCCACCGGCCTCTGTCCAGCTTGGTGCAAAGAGGAAGGGCAGAAAGAAAAACAAAAGAACAGGAACAAGAACAAGAGGAGACGAGAGGAAAAGAGAGAGAGACGGAGTATGCGGTGGACAGAGAGGCGCACGAGAACAGAGGAGGGAAGAGATGTGCGGAGAAGGCGGAGAGGGAAGATAAAAACAAAAGTAAAGTGCGTCAGATGAGTGGCACAGTCAAATTTCGGATGACGATGCGGATTTATGGGTTAGTTGGCTGAGGCGGAAGTTCTCGGAAGGTGTATTAGCAGGTGGAATCTTCAGGGCAGCACCCTGCAGGGTCTTCAGTGGGGAGACCTATAGACGTGAGTATTGTACCAATAACCTTCAGCGCAGTCATTTGGGTTTTAATTTTCAAAAATGGAAACTTGTAGAAGGCTTGCAACGCAGTCCGGAAAACAGAGCCTTCACGCCAAGACTAGGACACCTGGGCCAACCGCGTGCAATGAGATTCCCCGAGCTATTAATTTACCTTCTCTGGCTTCACTGTCGTAAATGAGGACTTTCGAGCCCTCCAGGATGATGTACTTCCTGTCCCAGCCTTGCTGTCCTCGTTTGTTATTCCTGGGAAAACAGAGATGGGAAGGAACTGTTTGAACTCAGAAGAGTCAAGGCAGGGGGAAGGGGTGGGGAGGCGAGGGAATCCCGGTGAAGATGCTTCCCTCGAAAACATCGGGAATGAAGTGCAGGGGCAGGGGGAAAAGAAGCTTCCTTCTACCCTTCTGGGCTATAGATGTAAGATGTAAGACACATGAACAGGAGAAAAGCATACACATTTTATTTTATGTGTACATGGGAGTCTCCACAAGAAAATAAAGCCCCAAAAGCAGATGGGCCCAAGTGCTTATATACTAAGTTGAACAAAGAGCAGCAACTGTGGAAAGGTAACAGGGTCTGTGTGCACAGACTTCTCTTAGCTGGCCTTGCACGCCCTGCTCTGGGCAGGAGAATGCTTCTTTCCTCCTGGTACAGGAAGAGCAGCTTTTACATGGGAGTTTTATCTCCTACTTTCCAGGAGAGAAAGGGGAGGTCCGAGTGTCGCTCTTGCATCTGCTGTTTTCCAAACACCTTTAGCTCAGAAGTATCCTTACCCCAAAGCGGCCCGTTCTGGGCCGGCACATCCTGCCGCCCTTCACCAGACCCCACCCCAGCCCGAACGGCCTTGCAGCAATACCTGGGCACCTTCATCCACCCTTCCAGGTGCAAGCCACTGCTGGGCTCCTTGGTCTGGAGACCCGGGGAGTTCATTTTGTCACGGCAGAAGGCCTCGGTGAAGTGCGTGGCATATTCGGCTGGCAGGCCACAGGTGGCCGGCAAGCAGGTGGAGCACTTGGGATGACACATGACCTGACATTCTAGGGAAAAGCAGTGGACAACCGGAACACACACTCGGCTGACGCTGGGCCACATTCCCTGCCTCTGCCAGCCACCCCCCGCCTGGCCCATCCGTCGGGCCCCGCCATCCAGGGTGTCCCTAACCTTTCCCAGGAGCCAGGCCCCTATGGAGAAGAGGAAACGTGACAGCCAGGCACTCTCGACCCAGTTTTCCTGGCTTCTCCCAGGCTGCCACAGACAGGTGTGTAAAACACATCTGCACGTTTCCCTTGGAGCCAGCACACGGCCTAAAGGCAGGGAGAGACCAGCCTGACGGAAAGGGGGCTGGAAGTTCACAAAGCCCAAGGCATTTTGCACAGGGAATTAGAGACATGAGCTGACAACACGTATAAACTCCCTCTTGAACGGGGG